CTGGATTCTTATTCGAAGGGGACGCCCACTTTGGCCGATGTAATGTTTGTTACAGTTCACACAATTTATTTTGTAAATGGTGTTAATTTTATCTCCCTTTTCTATCGGATCTTTTGGTTTGCATAAAATAGAATTAAGCGATTCAGCTGGTTTGTGTGCTACATCTATATCAAACGGTTTCATTATTCTAGCCGTTATTTCAGAGATGTTTCTGATATATGGTAGGATGAATTGCTTTTTGGTCTTTGGTGGTGGTTTTTTGTTGGTGCTTTCATTCGATTTTAAACACTTTTTGATGAAATTTTTTGGATAACCATTCTTTTTGAACACCGTTTGTAAGTATCTTTCTTCCATTCTTTTCAACTCTGGTGTGCTACAATGTGTTTGAATTCTTCTAAACAATGTCTGCACACAGTTTCTTTTGTGAGTAATTGGATTGTTGCTAGTATAGTTGAGTATTTGATATGTGTGCGTTAACTTTCTGAATTCAAACACATTGTAGCACACCAGAGTTGAAAAGAATGGAAGAAAGATACTTACAAACGGTGTTCAAAAAGAATGGTTATCCAAAAAATTTCATCAAAAAGTGTTTAAAATCGAATGAAAACACCAACAAAAAACCACCACCAAAGACCAAAAAGCAATTCATCCTACCATATATCAGAAACATCTCTGAAATAACGGCTAGAATAATGAAACCGTTTGATATAGATGTAGCACACAAACCAGCTGAATCGCTTAATTCTATTTTATGCAAACCAAAAGATCCGATAGAAAAGGGAGATAAAATTAACACCATTTACAAAATAAATTGTGTGAACTGTAACAAACATTACATCGGCCAAAGTGGGCGTCCCCTTCGAATAAGAATCCAGGAACACAAATCAGCCGTGAAAAGACATGATATAAATTCTTTAGTATCAATACATTCAGACGATCATGGACATCAATTTGATTGGGATAATGTCAAAATCTTAAACAGAGGAAACACCAAATGTGCCAGAGAATTCCTAGAAGCCTGGTACTCAAATGAAAACGCAATTAATAAACACGTTAATATAGATGAAATATACCAACTAATAAGAAGTAAATCAGGTGATCAGAAAGTTTAAAATCCCAATCAATAGAAAACGGTCAATAAATATCTAAAGATGGTTACCGGGAGACTCATGAAGAAATTTAAATCATTTCACTCTATCCTAAATACTGCGCTGAAGATGTCGTCCAGAAAGACGATGAAAGCTCCGCAATTAAACCAAGGACCTCAGAGAACACTATCAATTCCAAATCATCCACCTGAGTTACAAATCTTTTCTATAATTCGTTACATGTGTCATTGCTACAATAATTATTAATTATGACTGAATGATCATAAAAGATAATTGTTTATTACATGGATATATATGGTAGACTTTAACAATGATTATAAGGAAAATCAGTATATATGAAAAATTCGTGGTTTGCTTTTATCGAGACTCACATCCATTAAATCCACATGACGATAAATAATGAAGTACTGCGACATTTATGTCCGTTGCTATGGTGAGGATATACGTTACCGCGTTTTAAATATAGCGCTCATCAAGATCTCTCGTCTTTCATTGGCTGAAACCGTGGCGGTCAGTTTGATATTTGAATGGGCCTAGGTAGGTGATGTCGTGTGCAGATTCGTGTGGTGGCGTCGTGCGTCGTTTGCAAGCAGATGTGATGCACATGAATGTAACATAAGAATATTCGAACGTTTTCTTTTACTTTTTTGTGCATGTACAAGGCTTGTTTCATCATACACTCGGTTGAGATTGGTTGGCCTATCGGTTGCTGTCGATGTCTACGAACCCGTGAGTTCTTATGCTTTTCTAGAGTTGTGGTTATACGTGTTACACTTTCTTGATCGATATTTCTCAGTCATATATTGTAATATTGCGATTTTTACGGAATTACGTTTAGATAGCTGTGGCAGAAATTGGTACTTATTGACGAAGCCTTTTTAGAAGTTCATTGCAGGTAATCAATGCAATTGAAAGCACCACAGACGTAAGGTAAATTTTTGGTGAAATAATGCTGAGGAGGCGTTTCCTCAGCTGGGAGGGACTTGAGAATGCATTAGGAGAATTTGAAAAAGTGAGGAAGTCATTTGATGCTAACAGTGTAGTTGGTCCTGCACTCATTATGTGCATATTCAGAGCAAGACAACAGCGGATGATAGCTTTAAGTACGCGTATATCGCTCTTAGATGCACTTTTCGAGTGAACCGTGTAAAAGGGGGCCTGGAATTAAGGAACAAGTCGTAAGAGGAAGTATATTACGATATTATGTATATTTAAGATCTAGATGTTGCAACTGTCTGTCTTCATTTCGCATACTTTTGCATTGTAGTCAATAGCTGGTTACGTCCTACAAAATGGTGCATAGCCATCCATGCACCGAGGTGTGCATGCAGAATGACCCTTAGTGTTAACGATGGTCGGGGGTGGGTGCCTTGCGCTGCGGGTTGGCCACCCCTCCGCACACCTCTTGAAATGCTCCCATATGACCGGGCGTCTTACATAGCCTCTCCTGAGGAAGTCCTACTCACTGCCTTCACGTGGCGGAGGTGTTTCTCACCAAAGTGAGAGGGCGAAAGCGGATGCCCGGCGCTCTCCACCGGGTTGACTGTCCATTGGATGACGGTCTAGGGGAGATGGCTAAACCCTGATTCCAAACCTCCAACGACTGGCGTATGAAGCTCACCGGCAGACGTATGGACAAAGGGCTTGTTGGATGTCCTGGATGTCTGGCCCCATTCAAAAAGGTGTATGAACCGAACTCCGGTCACCGGGTGCCAATGGATAGTGGACTCCTTACTCCACTCCTACTGCCTTGTAGGTCACACTTGGCTGTGTAAAGGCTAGAGCTGCACTCTCAAACAAAAGGCCGAGCGATGCTGGGGACATCACTCGTACCAAATTCCCATGAAACTTCATGAACTCTCTTACAAATTGCCGCGCCTGGGCAGCGATGATTCGAGACGTTCATGAAGCCGGCTCATCCTCCCGTAGGAGATAGCCGAAGTAAAGTAAAGTAAGTAAGTAAGTGTAAACGACTAACAATAGAAGAGAAAGAAAACGTGGAACCACTTTTTCAGCAATCGCACCCATCTGATGAAATAATGAGGCATGTTAAGGAGGAACTCCACAAGGACACCACTCTTAATGACGTTAAAATATGAAAGCCTCAGTAAAGTTGACGTAATTGTTGGTTACTTAAGGCATGTCGAGTCGTAGTGGCATCTTTCAATTACTGAAATCCCGTGGGAAGTTTATGCAGTATTATTCAGACGAACCGATCCGGAATTCACTAATGAAACTTTGTTTTTCGACTTATAAGCAAACTGATTTGTATAGACAGTTCCCGGAGGTTGTGGGTATTGGCTCTATATATAATACAAATAAAGAGAAGTAAGTTTACTCATTCAGTATAATCAACATGCAGGTATTCTTTGTTCCAATTAGTTTTTACGAATAATTTTGGTCGTGAGCGACCAGTTCTATTTCCTTGGAGTCGAAATGAATTTAAACGTGTAGTTTGGATATTAGACTGTTTTCGTCGAATAATGGAAGACACCTCGAAAACAGAAACTTTCATTATGGAATGTGGCCAATCGGAAACAACCACTGTTTCCGATTGGCCACATTCCATAATGAAAGTTTCTGTTTTCGAGGTGTCTTCCATTATTCGACGAAAACAGTCTAATATCCAAACTACACGTTTAAATTCATTTCGACTCCAAGGAAATAGAACTGGTCGCTCACGACCAAAATTATTCGTAAAAACTAATTGGAACAAAGAATACCTGCATGTTGATTATACTGAATGAGTAAACTTACTTCTCTTTATTTGTATTATATATAGAGCCAATACCCACAACCTCCGGGAACTGTCTATACAAATCAGTTTGCTTATAAGTCGAAAAACAAAGTTTCATTAGTGAATTCCGGATCGGTTCGTCTGAATAATACTGCATAAACTTCCCACGGGATTTCAGTAATTGAAAGATGCCACTACGACTCGACATGCCTTAAGTAACGAACAATTACGTCAACTTTACTGAGGCTTTCATATTTTAACGTCATTAAGAGTGGTGTCCTTGTGGAGTTCCTCCTTAACATGCCTCATTATTTCATCAGATGGGTGCGATTGCTGAAAAAGTGGTTCCACGTTTTCTTTCTCTTCTATTGTTAGTCGTTTACACTTACTTACTTACTTTACTTTACTTCGGCTATCTCCTACGGGAGGATGAGCCGGCTTCATGAACGTCTCGAATCATCGCTGCCCAGGCGCGGCAATTTGTAAGAGAGTTCATGAAGTTTCATGGGAATTTGGTACGAGTGATGTCCCCAGCATCGCTCGGCCTTTTGTTTGAGAGTGCAGCTCTAGCCTTTACACAGCCAAGTGTGACCTACAAGGCAGTAGGAGTGGAGTAAGGAGTCCACTATCCATTGGCACCCGGTGACCGGAGTTCGGTTCATACACCTTTTTGAATGGGGCCAGACATCCAGGACATCCAACAAGCCCTTTGTCCATACGTCTGCCGGTGAGCTTCATACGCCAGTCGTTGGAGGTTTGGAATCAGGGTTTAGCCATCTCCCCTAGACCGTCATCCAATGGACAGTCAACCCGGTGGAGAGCGCCGGGCATCCGCTTTCGCCCTCTCACTTTGGTGAGAAACACCTCCGCCACGTGAAGGCAGTGAGTAGGACTTCCTCAGGAGAGGCTATGTAAGACGCCCGGTCATATGGGAGCATTTCAAGAGGTGTGCGGAGGGGTGGCCAACCCGCAGCGCAAGGCACCCACCCCCGACCATCGTTAACACTAAGGGTCATTCTGCATGCACACCTCGGTGCATGGATGGCTATGCACCATTTTGTAGGACGTAACCAGCTATTGACTACAATGCAAAAGTATGCGAAATGAAGACAGACAGTTGCAACATCTAGATCTTAAATATACATAATATCGTAATATACTTCCTCTTACGACTTGTTCCTCAATTCCAGGCCCCCTTTTACACGGTTCACTCGAAAAGTGCATCTAAGAGCGATATACGCGTACTTAAAGCTATCATCCGCTGTTGTCTTGCTCTGAATATGCACATAATGAGTGCAGGACCAACTACACTGTTAGCATCAAATGACTTCCTCACTTTTTCAAATTCTCCTAATGCATTCTCAAGTCCCTCCCAGCTGAGGAAACGCCTCCTCAGCATTATTTCACCAAAAATTTACCTTACGTCTGTGGTGCTTTCAATTGCATTGATTACCTGCAATGAACTTCTAAAAAGGCTTCGTCAATAAGTACCAATTTCTGCCACAGCTATCTAAACGTAATTCCGTAAAAATCGCAATATTACAATATATGACTGAGAAATATCGATCAAGAAAGTGTAACACGTATAACCACAACTCTAGAAAAGCATAAGAACTCACGGGTTCGTAGACATCGACAGCAACCGATAGGCCAACCAATCTCAACCGAGTGTATGATGAAACAAGCCTTGTACATGCACAAAAAAGTAAAAGAAAACGTTCGAATATTCTTATGTTACATTCATGTGCATCACATCTGCTTGCAAACGACGCACGACGCCACCACACGAATCTGCACACGACATCACCTACCTAGGCCCATTCAAATATCAAACTGACCGCCACGGTTTCAGCCAATGAAAGACGAGAGATCTTGATGAGCGCTATATTTAAAACGCGGTAACGTATATCCTCACCATAGCAACGGACATAAATGTCGCAGTACTTCATTATTTATCGTCATGTGGATTTAATGGATGTGAGTCTCGATAAAAGCAAACCACGAATTTTTCATATATACTGATTTTCCTTATAATCATTGTTAAAGTCTACCATATATATCCATGTAATAAACAATTATCTTTTATGATCATTCAGTCATAATTAATAATTATTGTAGCAATGACACATGTAACGAATTATAGAAAAGATTTGTAACTCAGGTGGATGATTTGGAATTGATAGTGTTCTCTGAGGTCCTTGGTTTAATTGCGGAGCTTTCATCGTCTTTCTGGACGACATCTTCAGCGCAGTATTTAGGATAGAGTGAAATGATTTAAATTTCTTCATGAGTCTCCCGGTAACCATCTTTAGATATTTATTGACCGTTTTCTATTGATTGGGATTTTAAACTTTCTGATCACCTGATTTACTTCTTATTAGTTGGTATATTTCATCTATATTAACGTGTTTATTAATTGCGTTTTCATTTGAGTACCAGGCTTCTAGGAATTCTCTGGCACATTTGGTGTTTCCTCTGTTTAAGATTTTGACATTATCCCAATCAAATTGATGTCCATGATCGTCTGAATGTATTGATACTAAAGAATTTATATCATGTCTTTTCACGGCTGATTTGTGTTCCTGGATTCTTATTCGAAGGGGACGCCCACTTTGGCCGATGTAATGTTTGTTACAGTTCACACAATTTATTTTGTAAATGGTGTTAATTTTATCTCCCTTTTCTATCGGATCTTTTGGTTTGCATAAAATAGAATTAAGCGATTCAGCTGGTTTGTGTGCTACATCTATATCAAACGGTTTCATTATTCTAGCCGTTATTTCAGAGATGTTTCTGATATATGGTAGGATGAATTGCTTTTTGGTCTTTGGTGGTGGTTTTTTGTTGGTGTTTTCATTCGATTTTAAACACTTTTTGATGAAATTTTTTGGATAACCATTCTTTTTGAACACCGTTTGTAAGTATCTTTCTTCCATTCTTTTCAACTCTGGTGTGCTACAATGTGTTTGAATTCAGAAAGTTAACGCACACATATCAAATACTCAACTATACTAGCAACAATCCAATTACTCACAAAAGAAACTGTGTGCAGACATTGTTTAGAAGAATTCAAACACATTGTAGCACACCAGAGTTGAAAAGAATGGAAGAAAGATACTTACAAACGGTGTTCAAAAAGAATGGTTATCCAAAAAATTTCATCAAAAAGTGTTTAAAATCGAATGAAAGCACCAACAAAAAACCACCACCAAAGACCAAAAAGCAATTCATCCTACCATATATCAGAAACATCTCTGAAATAACGGCTAGAATAATGAAACCGTTTGATATAGATGTAGCACACAAACCAGCTGAATCGCTTAATTCTATTTTATGCAAACCAAAAGATCCGATAGAAAAGGGAGATAAAATTAACACCATTTACAAAATAAATTGTGTGAACTGTAACAAACATTACATCGGCCAAAGTGGGCGTCCCCTTCGAATAAGAATCCAGGAACACAAATCAGCCGTGAAAAGACATGATATAAATTCTTTAGTATCAATACATTCAGACGATCATGGACATCAATTTGATTGGGATAATGTCAAAATCTTAAACAGAGGAAACACCAAATGTGCCAGAGAATTCCTAGAAGCCTGGTACTCAAATGAAAACGCAATTAATAAACACGTTAATATAGATGAAATATACCAACTAATAAGAAGTAAATCAGGTGATCAGAAAGTTTAAAATCCCAATCAATAGAAAACGGTCAATAAATATCTAAAGATGGTTACCGGGAGACTCATGAAGAAATTTAAATCATTTCACTCTATCCTAAATACTGCGCTGAAGATGTCGTCCAGAAAGACGATGAAAGCTCCGCAATTAAACCAAGGAGCTCAGAGAACACTATCAATTCCACATGTAACGAATGTTTGTGAAAACGGAGATAATATATTTCCTCACCCCTATAGGTGGCGCTCTTCCATGAAAAATCTTTTCCAAATATCCTGCATAGCCAGATTGTTTTAAAATACAAGTTAAGACGGGAGGAATATTTCCTATGTTTACTTAATTGAAAGCTGCTCGTTAATGAGAGTATGAATGTAAGTAAAAAAATTTACATCCCGCATTATAATGTGGAGAATACATTCATATACTGGGAATTTAAGAGAGAATTATTGCAACAAAAAGAGGGGGTTTACACCATTTCTCCTTTAGGTTATCTATTTTGTTCCATCTCTCTGGTTATTTTGTCTTCTTCTAGGGGCGTGTTTTACCCCTGTGTGTACAACTTGCTTAGATTTATTCGAAGCATTCAGACCTCAAACTGAGTATATACTTCAACACCCGACCGTTAGCTGCTACCTTGACGTTGTGGTCGGGCTTGCACATCGCGATGACCCAACAAGCTACACTGGCTGGAACCGATGTTCCTGCAGGTCCTACCATGCCAGGAAGGTTGTTAGGATAGCGATTAGACTAAAAGCAGTTACCGGCATTGTGTAAGATTCTTTCTTACACTATGCTGGGGGTCTAAGGGCGAAGTCGTACTGCTGAGGAACAGGGATGTAACAGCACTGAGGTGTTTTCCTCAGATGATCAGCATGCCAGCTATTCTGTCCCTCCACTCCGGAGAGAGGGGGTTAGAAAAGGTCGACCCCAAAAATCGTACATCCCGACTTACCCTACGGTGGTCCGTAACCGGCGGTAAGTTTACTAATACGGAATCAATCCCAGAGACCAGTTCACACAGGCTGTGTGTGACCGGCCTCAAGCAGTTGTCCCGTAGTCTCTGCGGTCGCGCAACACTCCTGTCTCAGGTACTCTAAGATTCAATCAACTTCCACGGTGTGGGCAGCCGGGAAGTATCAATCGCCCACACACTTCCAAAAGCACACGAAGCCTTCCTAAGCATCATTCTCCTTTACTCACATCACCTTCCTCATCTTGCTTCTCTACTACAGTTAGTACTATTCTGCAGGCTAGTGAGCCATCTTCACTTCACTCTGTGACCACAAACAACGGCGAGAGCCATAAAAACACCCCAGATAACCTTTCGAAGCCAAGTCGCCAACTTCATATAGGAGCATTTAACGTCAGAACCCTCTGCCAAATCGGACAATAGGCATCACTAGAATGAACTTTGGCATCTCGAGCCATGGATGTATGTTGTGTCTCGGAGACACGCGTACAAGACCCGAGTGTGATCATTCACTTAACCTCAACCGGTCAACAAGTTGAATCTGCAAAATTCACTTTAAGAGTGTCAGGAGGCCTCTCAGCCAGCTCGCGAGGACTCGCAGGTGTAGCGATAGCACTCAGTTTTAGGGCAGGAAAATCACTTCTTGACCGAATCCCAGTAGATAGTCGTATGTGGGCGGTCCGTCTGAATGGGTCCGTTAAAAGAAGGAAAGACGGCGCTACCCGTCGTTGCCTTTTCGTAGTCTCTGTTTACGCCCCCAACAGACTGCAGTTCAGATTAACCAAAGGATGATTTCTACCTGACACTGTCTCATTTGCTGCAAAAAGCAGAACGTTTAGATATAGTTGTTTTAGCAGGCGACTTCAATGCCCAAGTAGGGGAGTTGTGCCAGACTGAGAAGTATGTAGGTGGTACATATGGAGTTCCCTGCCGACGAACCGACAACAATGATTGTCTTCTACAGTTTTGCTCAGCACTAACCGTAGGCACAAAGAGAGACATTGTGTAACCTGGCGACCTCCATCACCAAATCATCGCTGGACTCAGACAGACCACATAGCGATAGGGTATCGTTGGCGATGTTCAGTAGAAGACTTCCGCTCCTTCTGGAACACGTGCGTAGACTCAAATCACACTCTGGTTCGCGCACGTTTATGCTTATGACTAAACGGACATAAGAAATTGACGGCAGCGAAACAGTCACGTCCCCAACTAGATCGAGACACTGAGTCCCTATTTAAGGAAGAAATAGCGAAAGGAGTATCTGAAGTCGACAGCAGGACTTCCCCTGAGGTGGCCTGGCACAACATACAGTTAACTGTAGACACAGCTTTGAAAGCTGTTAATAAGCTGAAACCAAAAGTTAGTGAAGAAGTCCCGTCGGGTTGGTGTAAATCACTGATTATCCCCATATAAAGGAAGGTAGACAAGTCTTCCTGTGATAATCACAGAGGGATTAGCTTGACTAAAGTGGTATCTAAAGTTCTAGGCTCAATAATAATTCTTAGACCAAGCGGTTCACGGGAGACACAAACACGAGAGAGTCAGGCAGGTTTTAAACTAGGAAGAGGGTGTATTGATCATATCTTCACCCTTCGACCGATTCTGGGACATTGACACACTCACTGGCGTCCAACAATCATTATATTTCTTGACTTAAAGGCAGAATTCGATTCTGTCTACCGAGAGGTACTTTGGCGATGCTTGGCCGTGAAGGGAATGCCGAGAAAATACATTGCATTGATCAAGGCACTCACTCTACTCGAACTCAAGCAACCAGGTGAGGGCTTACGGCGAGTTGTCATCTGAGGTGGTGACGACTAGTGGTGTCCGTCAGGGATGCTAGCCCATTATCCCCATTTCTATTCAATTTCATCATAGATGTAATGATGGACTTAACCCTAACTCACTTCAGAGACTCAGGGATTGACTTGTTACCATCAGAGAATAATCTTGTTGACTTGGAATATGCAGACGATATAGTCCTTCTAGGCGAAGACGCTGACGAAATGCAGAGTCTTCTGAACACCTTGAGCCGCAATCTACGAATGTTTGGCATGCGATTCGCTCCCGCCAAATGCAAGATGATGTTACAAGACTGGACTACACTGACTCCTAGATTAGAAATAGGGAGTGAAGTGGTAGAGTTGGTTGACCGCTTCACTTATTTGGGAAGTACCATCAGCCAGTGCCAACGGGTCGATCTGTGATGGAATCTCCCCACGGATACAGAGGGCTAGTTTCGCATATGCCAGTTTACGCCGTCTCTGGCGTAGACGTGATATCCGGGTATCGACCAAAGGGCGGATGTACTGCTCAGCAGTCCGCTCCGTCCTCCTTTATGGCCATTGAAAGTGGAAGACATGAAAATATTAGCTGTCTTTGATCATAGGTGCCTGCGCTCTATCTCCCGTTTGAAGTGGCAAAATAGGGTGAGCGAAATTGAGGTTGGGCGTCGAGTGGTAGGTAAGTAGAGGAAATCAACCGACGAGGCTGTGAAATTACATCGACTGAGATGGTTAGGACATATGTTACGTATGCCTAGTCATCACCTTCCTCGACGGGAAATGTTAGCTGATATAAGGTCAGGCTGGAAAAGAGCTAGCACATGGTGGTCAAACCAAAACATGGCTTCACCAGTCAGTGAAATCTACAACAGTTAGTTTAAGCCACGTAGGAAGATGTAGACTTCCTGACTGGTTGGGGTCCTCGGGACGGTAAAAAAACAATTAATGATATGGCTCAAAATCGTTCTCAATGGCTAGCGCAGATGTATCCACTCCCTGTGACTTGTGATTTGCAATGGAACTATATTGTTCTTCGTTATTACTATTCCTTTGTCTCACACCTCTGTTTACTGTCTCTATTATGCATTTCTTCTACTTTTTATCTCTTGCTTTGTGTGTTACATGGAGTGTGGCGACTTGAACTGCCGCACATATGTGCAAAGTCCTATGTCGAAAACAGACAGACGGATATACTTCAACAAAGTGTGCTGTGTTTACGAGATCACTACTCAAAATGACTACAACACAGAAGACAGCGACAGAAATTGCCAGGTAAATAAAGTAGTTATGACACCCTACATCCTACATAATGCTTCAGTCTGCAGAAATCCATTCATATGATGGTGGGATGTATATATATATATATGTATATATACCACCAGTACAGTGGATCTAATCATCTGGTAGTTTTATCTATAAGTACAGTATGTGATTGCCGTAGATACTGCACTATTGTCAAACTGGTAGAAGCCAGTTCCTCTCCTTGCTGTTGAGGCTAGTAAATAGGTTCCTGAATTTGAGGTTCTGTGGCAGTGGTAGTTGTGTAATTAATGGCATCTCTTAACAATGTTTTTACGCTTGTGAGGGTGTTTTATTCCCTTTTTTCTCTTTGTAAATAAGCTGCAAACATGTTGAAAGTCTCGCGGAAAGAGCTGTCTATAGGGCATTAGTGGCCTATTGACTAAGGCATTGCGTTATTTGGTAGAATATTCAGCCTCTTTCTGACATATTCGTTAAGACAGAACCATCCCGCCATGGATTTATCATTTTGATGATCTCTTTAACTGTTTGTCCGAGTTTAGTTACAGGAGCCTTGTTAGACAAGTTGGTAATCATGACTTCTCGCATTGAATTTAATTCTCTTTGCTACTGTCGGATAGATACCTAACTAATTGTTCAAATAAAGTATCCGCTCTCAGATGGTGAAGTGATTTTTTGATTTGTTTCCATATGGTTAAATTTTACGGCTTGGTAACAATAGACTTTCTTCTTAACTAAAGCAAAGTGATTGCAACTTAAATTGCGCTCAAAGGAAATCTTGATGATTTTAATCGGCCGGATCTGATACAAGAAGCCACGAAACTCCTTTATTGTATTTAGTTGGAGCAAGTTGACGGGCGCTGCACATTCTTAAAAAACTACGAAACAGAGGTGTGAATATAAAATTCACAGACGACATTCTAGTTAAACCCAGCCTGGCTTCAGTCAGGCGCCAAGCTATTTTGGGGATAGTTTCACTGGTAACTTAGGGGGAAATTTTAAACTCATACTGATTTAGCTTGCACACAATCAGCTGTGCCCTTTTGCAGTTATTTCAAGATAACACAGGTGTTCAATCTCCTTTGTGTTGCCGAAAAACATGTTATAAACTATTTATAAAAGCTTAGGATTATTAAGAGAAATAACACTCACATTTGCATGAGTAAGGACTGAAAACTCAACAACTTATTGTCAGTGGTGGCGTCATTTACTCATGATAGTTTTAAAAAATCAATACTTGGAAGTTGATCATACCTATAATACAACAATCCTCTTTTTGGCTGATAATCTTAGCGTCACGTATTGTCAAGACGTTTTCAATAACCGTATTTTTTTTCAGAAAATTTGTTTTCACTGCCTTTCACCTCCTTTTTTTCTCATTTTCAGAATTAACTTAAATGAGTGAATCAGAAATACTTGAAGAAGATAGTTTAAATGAAATCAACAGTGGTCAAGAAAGTGATAGTGAAGAGATTAACCAAAAGAAAAAGCATGAGAACTATTATTCACTGAATACCAATACTAGAAACAACAACAATGGCTATACCACCACCAACAGTTTACTTGACTTCAGTGATGACAATAATGACATGCTAGTATTCTCTTCTGAAAATTATAATCTCTTTGCTAATACAATGAAAAAGAATGATGAATTTACACAATCTCAGTCAGTCCCACCATTAAATTTACTATCTGAAGATGGTAGTATTATTGAAGCCACTGAATCATGTAAAGAGGCATTTGATATTGACCTAAGAGCTAAATGTCATACACCCGTGAGTCAAACTTGAAAATGTTAACTTAGTTTGTCTTTAAAATAAGTGTTTGAAATGCAGTGTTATCGGTAGGACAAATGTTTTCTAAACAGGATATTTTGTGTCCGCTCTGTTTATTATTGACTAGCTTCTTGAAAGGTCTTAATATAATGCTATGACTTAAAATGCCAACCGATCGTGAAATAAAATTCAGGTATCGCATCAATACCTTAGACTGACCTGATTCTAATGACATACCTCTTTAGATTTTGACTACATAAGTTGATCAATAACAGGGTGATGTTGAGATGTGTAGATCCTTCTTTCTATTCTTGATAAATAACTGTTACAGAGTTCTCTAGAGTGATGAGATAAAATTCCTATTTGTCATGCTCTTTAGTAGTTCATAGATTATCAATCTTTGTAAATCAGTCATTTATTTTAATTTATGAACATTGAGTGACAAAAATTAATTACTTAGTTAAACTCTACTATAAACAAATGACTGTTGAATTCCAGTGAATGTTTTTTTCGGATAGAGATAGTCTTTTTGTGTTGTAAGTAATTAATTTATTAAAAGTTAACTTGGTCAGAGTGATAATTATTCAATAAATTCCACCTCCTCTAGATAAGAGACAGTTCTTCTGAAAGCTTTCAGAAACAAGTCTTTGTGCAACAAGGTTGTGTTTTTGCGGAAAAACGAACTCATTAGACTCATCATTACTAACTGGGCGTTTTTTAGAGATTATTCTGTGACAGTCTTGATGAGTAGTGAACCAATGCTTCATTGGTCTAGAAGCTCGACTGCAGACCGTTGGGTCATATCTTAGAGTACCCGTTCACCTGGCATGGTTCAGGTAGCCCCATGTATTATTACCAGCCTTCATACAATAAGTGTGGCTCTTTGTCAACTGCAGAAAAATGAAATTGGTTGTTGAGTAACATTAATTAATTAAGAAAACAGTTGATCTTGAAAAGCGAAGCGATTTACTCTACTATTTTACCAATATTGACTTTCAACGATAAGAAATATGTTATTTTTAAGACTGGAACCTCGTTACTGTGGTACTTACAGGAAGTAAAACTGTATCAGTGTGTGGTACATCAAGTAAGTGATCTATCATGGGTATATATATATATGCATAATTTCAGATGAATTATTTACACACATCTTTTGGAAGTATACAATCCATTTTTCTATCGGAAAGCAATCATTTAAAGATAACGTTTATCAGGCGTGAATTACTACCATCACTTTCTGTTGGATAACATACACAGGAACGTTGCTGTCTTTCCAAAACACTAGAACATAATGACTGTCTTCACACTATTTCTACTACTTTTAAATTACTGTGTGTCAAACAAAAACTTGGCACCAGTCAATGAAATCCACAACAGTTGGTCTAAGCCACGTAGGAAGGTGTATACTTCCGGGCTGGGGTCCTCCGCACGGTAAAAATCTATTTTTGGAAACAATTGGTGACATGGCTCAAAATCGTTCTCAGTGGCGCAGATGCATCCACTCCTTGTGACTTATGATCTCCAATGAAACTGTTTTGTTCTTCGTTACTACTATTCCTTTGTCTCACCCCTCTGCTCACTGTCTCTATTATGCTTTTCTTGTACTTTCTTCTCTTGCTTCGCGTGCTACACGGAGTGTGGCGACTTGAACTTCCGCACATTTGTGCAAAGTTCTATGTCGAAAACAGACAGACAGACTGTGTGTTTTAATGGTGTCAAAATTTTCAACTTTAAGCTACTAATTGTTTTATTTGGAGTGCAGACAGTTATAGTCTTCATTATATTGGAAAATTACTTTACAACAAGAAACATTTCGTAAAGTGACGTGCAACTTATCTCTTTTAAGTGTTGACCTAGTGTAGCAGAATTAAGTAAATGGCTGCTTTTCTTGGAATAGCATATAGTTATACAGTAATATTTCTTCATAAAGCTTGGGACATAAATTAACCCTAGTAATTATAGCACGTATTAATCATGAGTAAATAATACTGTTCCAACGAATCGATAAACTTTCCTAAAGACTACTGTTAGGACTCATTTATCTGGTGCTCAGTGCACAGTCTGAGGTAGATGCAGCGAATTTCGAAACCTGGAAGCATTACTTAAAGTAATTTTGATTAAACACTAACTAGTGTCGTGTGTTTAGTTCTTTGTTTACTGCAGACTGAATTCTATCAGTCAAGTTTGCAATGTGACCACCATGGCAGGTAGCTCGCCGCCACGGTACACTCAGGATTGCTGTTCTTACATAGTTGGAGGCAATAGGCAGGAGGCCTTGGACTGATATAATTCAGTCTGCAGTAAACAAAGAACTAGACACATGACACTAGTTAGTGTCCAATGAAAAGTATCTAACACACTCTCAAAAAAGGTCAATCGTGAGCCCGAATATTTCAGTGGTAATATCTCTGACTGCAGCACTAGATGACACAAGTATGAATCTCAGAAGGGACATGAGTTCCTTCAAGATCGCAGATGCACCTTGATGACCAGTGCCAACAAGCACAAAGCCTAGATCCAAGGCTTCCTACCGATTGCCCCCAACCATCTAATGATATTACTTAAAAGTTGAGTACTTAGACTAACGAGACGTCTTTACTAAGATTTATCTATCTAAGTGTACTAGTCATTAGAACTAATACGATTAGATGTAATAAATCTTTGACCGTTGAATTTATGTTCTCTAAACCAACACCTCATATTTTCAATAAGAACACTGTAAAGCTAAAACTAGAAGTATAGAAAGTAATCTGACCATAAGAATCAAAAAATCAGAAAAAATCAAAATCTAAGAAATAAGTCATGAAGTTTAATAAGTACCTTGACGTAAGTACACAAAATAAGCTGCGTTGTAAATGTCATCAGTAAACTAAGCTACTCTAAGGTTCATTCACTTTAATGCATATTGCAAAATTTTTAGTGTCGTTTCTTTATTTTACTCCACTTCAAGGGCTTACCATCCGATTCTTGTAAATAATTTTTCCAACATCTTTTTTCAGTATTCTCCAGAAGGCCGTGTTACTCAGTCAAAGGATGAAAACATTTCAACTCATTGGAACCATTGCAGTGAAAAGTTACAGAAATTGCGATTAGAAAAGAATAATTCTGGTAATGGTAGTAAAAGCCCACCGACCACATTGAAGAAAAACTATCAATATGGTGAACCGATTATGGTTGGTGAAGGTAAGCAGCTGGATATGGTGGAAAGTGTATGCTTTCATTCTCAGAAAAATTAGTAGATTACTTTATCGTTGAAGTAAAATTGGAGACTGAACTTGCTTAATGTTTTCCTTTAGAAGATTAATCATACGGAATTATAACTTGTTCCAACTGTACTGTGTTTCCCTATGCTTTCTGGTAGGTATGAGTATTCATACATTCATCTAAAGATTAGTGAGATTAGTTGATGAACTAACTGTGTCATTGGATTCCCCTAGATATCTGGGTAACATAAAGGTCCTAAGTTTGGTTCCCCATAGGGGGTGATTGATACACACTGTTGAAGAATTCAAAACTAAGATGAACAAGATACCCAGTGCTCCCTGACTTTGAAGGGTTGTTTAATTAATGTCAGCCCGTGACTGAGTCTACCTTGTCAAATAATATTTCTCTCTGAGAAAGATGAAAATCCTTTATACATAACATTTTACCAGTACATGTTGTGTAAAATAGGCGCTATTGTTTTCAAATAGTCCATACACTGTGGTGTTCACTGAGATGAGATGTGCGTCGGTGGCACAGTGGTTAGGACTCTCGCCGACCATGCACATGGTCCGGGGTTCGAGCCCACGCCGGCGCACACCTGATATCTATGGTCGGCCTGCGAAATTGGACTACCGATATCCATGCTGAAAATTCCATACTTGTACCAAAAATACTGTGTGGAATCAAGCTGTAGTCAAAAATAAAATAAAAAATGCACTTTTATCAAATTAAGACAATCGGATACCACGTTTATCCAATCACAAATAATGCTTTATGAGTAGATAATGTTTACAGTATTGTTCATAAATGTTGACTCCATCTTGTTTAGTTATTTATATAATCACAAGCTAAGTTAATTTATTTATCTCAAGCAGTTCAAGTATATTCAAAGATATAGTTATATTAGAAGCATTAAAACTATGATTAATAGAACTTTTATCAATAGAAAACATTTAATAATTCATTATTCAACAACTAGTTAGTTGGGATTTAGAAGTCATTGATTTCCAGTCGTGTTATATATACGTTCTTAGCAGTCATTGACAATTTCAGTGGACCTTTGACGTCGTGTTTTTAGCTCTAGTTGAGTTAAAAATTTGACTGAAAAGACTCAAGGCAGTAGTGTAGGGTAAACTACAACCTTCCACTCCTTTGTCTGACAGGTTATTTCTACTAGTTTGTATTACCTTCTAAATGAATTCGATATCTAGTCAGACGTTTTTCTTCGAGCAGTTGGAGACAAAGTTCGCCAATCGCAACACTTTTATGTTCATTAATCCGCCAAATGGATTCTTGTTATATATTCCTAAGCATAAGCTTGATTTGAGCCTACATTCATCTATGGCCAATAGATCAGAAAAGTGGTCTGATGTAACTGTTTTTATGTAGGTGTATTATTGCTGTAATCGTGTTATTATGTTAGGAAATCCTAAGACAATAAATGTTGTCACCCAATGTTTTATGATGTATAATATGATTGATGAGAACAAACCATATAAGCGAACAATATGGTTCTCAATGAAATCTTCTTCAGGCTTTACTCTAACCTACATAGATATATATTTAGATATTTTAACCAATGATGATGAGTGTGTGGATCAAATAATGACGGTAATAATGTGGTAAAAGTTTTGAACGTCAGTAATAACGATGTTTATAATGATAGGAGAATAATAGTAAGGTTCATACATGTGGCGATAAGAATAACGAAGGTAGTAATAACTCTGGTATCTCCTCATTTGCGGATAATTCTTGTATGCTTCGGTGGCACAGTGGTTAGGACTCTCGCCGACCATCCACATGGTTCGAGGTTTGATCCCCTGCCGACGCACACCTGATATCTATGGTTGGCCTGCAAAATTTGGGCTACCGATATCCATGCTGGAAATTCCATACTTGTACCAAAAATTACAGTGTGGAATCAAGCTGTAATCAAAAATCAAAATAATATGTGTCTATGTAGACAATTCAATAAATAAATTAGGTGGAAAATTAAAAGTTACGTAGCACTAAAGGTGAAGTGGACAAATAATCAGAGTTTAGATAAATATCATGAAAATACGAAGGAGATGGAAAATAAGAAAGGTTGGGAGGGTTTTGATTAGAATTTAGCTAGGCCAAGAGAGAGACAAAGGTAGAACAAACTTCTTTTGTATGTAAATACTAGGATTGTTCTCTCGAATTCCTATAAGTTCGGCTATGTGTAAAAGGTGGGTTCGAATTCCGTTCGAAAGGTTCAATGGAATGAGATAGATAATTTTGAAGGTACCTGTTCTGTACACTTGGTGACTGCTGTCAATCAAATGAGTCGAAATAGATCTTTTTATAGACTTTATTTATCCTTTTCTGAACCATAGAGGAAGATGCTCATTAACACGTTTGTTGAGCTGTCTAGTTGTTCACCTTATATAGCTTTCTCCGCAGAAGCAACTAAATTTGTAGATACACATAGAAGTGGCACAGCTAGGTAGCTTTTCTCTCGTTTGAGCAATTATAATGGGTCAGCTGCAAGATGACAAACCAAGGTTGGCGTCAGTATAAGTCCATTTTATTACTCTCGATAATCTTAGATGTAGGACTTTACTAGCAACGTCCCGATTAAATTGCAATTCTAGGACCAAATCACCGAAAATACCCGTTGAGTCATGTTGTCAGTTTCTCTTTATTATACCTGGTGTTCATGTGTCTCCTTACAAATCTACCAGGATAAGCCATTTGAACCAGAGTATTTTGGATGTATGCTAATTCATTTTCTAGGGAGTCATCTGTACAGATCCTTCTAGCTGTATTCATGAGGCATCTAGCCAAATTGATTTTGTATCGGATTAGTACAAGACTGAAGAAATGTGTGTATTGTCCTACACATGTAGGTTGTCTATAGACATCTCTCTTGAGTGAACCATCCTCTCTTCTGTTCAATTGAACGTCAAGGAAGTGTAGTCTACCATCATGTTTTTCTTCAGAAGTGAAGATGAGCGATGGATGTGCATCATTAAACTTTATTAACATTTCATTCTTGTCAGCTTTATCATCAAGAATAATAAATGTATCATCAAGATAATGAAAATAAGAAAAAATTCAAGAGTTGATTTGTAAGGATCTGATTTGTTTTTCGAGTTTGACCACGAATTGATATCATTTGTAGAACCATTGAGTTGGGTCCCAGTGTCTGAATAGTCTACGAGCCTGCGTTGCAGCCAGAAGGTCCTGGGTCGGAAACCTGGTGAAATAGCTGTCCAGTACTCCGTGGTTTTCAATGGTTCTCTAACTGATATCAGTCCGTGGTCAAAATTGAAAAACTAATCAAATCCTTATAGCTGTACTCTTGAAAATAAGAATGCATTCTATCTGTTAATTGTTTCAGTGGACCATTTTCAAGCTTAGGAAGAAAGAAATCTGCCCAAATTGGACCCGATTGAGAACTCGTGGCAATACGGTCGATTCGTGTGTAATAAAGCCTGAAGAAGATCTAATTGAAAACAACATTGTTCACTAATATGTCTTGTTCTAATATTGATAATGGGAATATTTAAAGATATGATTGATTATTTGAATGTATTCAGTTAATGTAAGCTTGGTTAATCCGAATTTGCCTAAAGACGTCACAATATATTATTTATTTATTTCCACGTTCCCAGTGGAACATGGGGCGTCAAGCTAGACGCTTGAAGTTTCTGTAGCAGTGTTTATTTTTGCAGAATGGGGTTGCTAGCCGCATGCCCAACCTTCCCTCTTTAGCAGCATTATTCCTGGCTAAGTGAGGTAAAGGAGTGCGTTGGCCGGGGATCGAACCCCAGACCATCTGCATGGTCGCCGAGCATACTAACCGCTGTGCCACCGACGCACAAACCATATTTAGATAGATATTTTGGAAGCTGAAACGATTATAATCGAATGTTAGTCTTTATGGCAGATAAAATATTGTTTACGCCTTGAAATTCTTTCAAATATATTTAGATCTTATTGGGCGTCAACTAATTTATAAAAAGAAGACAAAGACAAAATTAAATTTCATTGCTTCAAATAAATTGAATATTCGTCAAGGAAACGTTAGAAGCTGTTCTAAAACATACGGTCAACTATACAAAGTGAAGTCACAATTACAACAATCTGGGTAGGACGCGTAATTTTTAATGAAATATCTTTATTACCTTCAATTACCAAAAGACAGATTTTTTATGTTTCAGGCTATAAACCAAGGGTATTGTATTATTAGGGCTGAAGATATTAGCCTGTTGTCCAGGCTGAAGTGGATAGAATGGGATTTGAACGCAAGACCTATTGGGTGAAAGTGGAACGCTTCAACCAATGAGAGATACCGTCATACAAGAGTATAAGTATTAAATCAAAAATTAGTTGACTAAATAAATGTAGGCATTAAAAATAAGAACGGACCAACTTATTTCAATGTGTATCAGAAAAGATGCATTCATTCCTATGCAATGTCACCCGTTCGTATTCATTTCTTCAGGAGAGAATAAACACACTACTCCACGGTAAAACATTCGGAATCCTGGTGAGTAATTTTAGGTTAAACAAAATTATATTTTAGGGGAATATCGAAGAAGGAAGCGTATAAGTGTGAATACTTCAAGTTGTATGCAGTTGTAGAGAGAATGACAAGTCTTATTTACAGATGACCTAGTGGATTCTAAGTTTAACAAGATTGAATGTACCCTTGTATCATATTACTTCCTTCCTCAGAGTTTGTCTCTTTTAAAGAATCTGCAGTTTGTAAGATATGAGTGAAAACATACTGCTGATAAGTGACGAGATACATCAAACTTTTAAGTGCAAAGGTTTCTAAGTGTTCGTTGTTGATCGTTGCGTTATACTGTAAATTTATTTTGGATTCAGGAAGAGAAGATGATTCAAAAGTGGTCTAGAGTTTTGTTATACACTAATTGATTGATGATTTCATTTCATAACTTTAGTGGAAATTTTGTGAAATGTTTCAACCTGTTTTTGCTCCATTTTATATAACCAACAGATCATCAAAAGCTCTTGGTCATTATGATCTTTCACCTTGTCCAACTTCAAAGATGACAATGAATGACAGAGAATATTTTCAATCTGACCCAGTGTTATTTACACATGGAACACTTTTGAATGATGAAGAAGATGATATGTATGCAATGAGATATAATTCTACACTGAGACTGCCACTCTCACCGCCGCCATCTTCAACTTATTCTCAAACAAAGTTACTACCTAATATAATCGAACCACTTTTTGTTGTAAGTAGTCTGTTAGCTATTTTTTCTTCTAAATAACTTTTACATCTCATAGATATTAGTTAAGAAGGAGGAAAGACAAGTAGTGTGTACTTTCCATGTCAGCTGTGCCCTAGACATTCTGTCTTAATCCAGATCAAAAGTTGTTCCAGTAAATTTCTATTGGTACATTATAAACCAGTCACGATACAGTTTTTCCGAGGTTATTGGTCACGAATATGACTACATAAACTACATGTCGTTTTTTGTCGTTCACCTTTTCCTGGGAAGAATAAACTTTGCATTCTCTTGTAACGGTAGAAGACAAGAGACTTGGTAACGGGATGTTTATTTATAATTTGGTATCTCTAAATAGCGAAGTTATGTAAACCTTATCTGACAATCGTCATTTGCACAGATCTTCCGTGTTGTGTTGTCCACTAGCAAGCATACTGTCACAGCGTCATAGTAAAATAAGGCGTTGAGATTTACAGGGTGTCTGAAGTGCTACGACACATATATTTATATATTTGCTAACTGTTGTGTTGTTGGGGTGGTAACAAGAGAAAATTAGCAATAGTTACGTAATTAGATAAGAGAAGATCAGAATTTTACAATTTCGGTGCACATATGGTCAGATGAGAAGCTGATGGTATAATACAGTGAGCAGAACTCAGAAAATCAAGAAAAATTATATCTTAAGAGAGTCAAGCGAAAAATAAAGGAAGGGGATAGAGTGAAAAGATAAGTTAACAAAATTAGAAAACAAAGAGTCACTAAGAGGTGAGTCACCAGGGAAATTGAAGTCCAACAACGGATTCTTTTTGGACACATAAATCAGGCTTCAATCGTTTTATTGCTATAGCTTCAGCAAATCTGAGAAGACTTGAGGTACTTTGTCTGTTAATTATTTTGAATGATTCCAGCACATCTACTTGGTGTCCTGTGTCAATCAGGTGTTTGGCGATTGAAGAGCTTAAACAATTGATCCCTTTAACCGGAGGCTCCTCGGTACATGTTCGGGATAGAGAGACTAATAACGCTGCAGAATGCGTCCTAGATAGGGCTGCGCTTAGTCTTTTATTAACCACTCTCATAATGTCGTCTCCGATTATGGTCAAGTTTGATGAAAATAGGCTTCTTACTGACTGTAGCTGTATCAAGCTTCCTGAGTTCATTCTTGCCATATTTGTTAATAAATCTTTGTGGCTAACCATTTTCTTTCAAGCATTTTTCAAGAAGCATTAGTTCACTGTCTAGTTTGTCTGGTGAACATATTCTCTTCGCTCTAGAGAAAAGCGTTTTCACCACCGTTTGTTTGTATCTCACTTGTCAGAAGCTGTTGAAATTCAAGTAAAGACCACTCTATGTGTCCTTACGATATACAGACCTTTCGAGTGTCCCGTCGTATTTTCTCTCCAACTTTACGTTCAGAAAGTGGACTTTTTCATCTTCTCCATGCTCCATCGTGAAAGTGATGCTTGTGTGTATATTGTTGAAAGAGTCTAATAGAGACGAAGCGTGACTCAAATCATTGCATACAATGAATGTGTCATCAACGTATCTGTAGTAGGCTGTTGTTTCGGCAATTGCACAATTGAGCTTTGTCTGCTCCAGACTGGCCATAAAGATATCAGCTAATATCGGGCCCAGTGGACTCCCCATTGCCACACGAGCAACCTGGCGGTTCATTTTGTTTGGAATTGATAGTGTTCTCTGAGCTCCTTGGTTTAATTGCGGAGCTTTCATCGTCTTTCTGGACGACATCTTCAGCGCAGTATTTAGGATAAAGTGAAATGATTTAAATTTCTTCATGAGTCTCCCGGTAACCATCTTTAGATATTTATTGACCGTTTTCTATTGATTGGGATTTTAAACTTTCTGATCACCTGATTTACTTCTTATTAGTTGGAATTCTTTATCATTAGTACATAACACGAGAAGCTACTTAAATTCCAGTTTTGGTAGAGGAAGAAAATCAGAGTGTTGACAGATGATGTCTATTGTCTCCTGCAGAGAGATCTGGGTGAATAGAGAAGTCACATCGAAGTAAACCATGATTTTGTCATGTACATTGAGTTGATTCACCTCTTCAACAAATTGGGACGAGTCTTTTAGAGTATGTTTAGCTAGATGTTGTCTGACAGGTTCTAACCTATCGGCTAACCAGAGAGCAACTTTGTGAAAGGGTGAACTCACCATTGAGAGTATTGGTCTCATTGGGGAATTATTTTTATGTATCTTCAGCAGACCATACATATATGATAGACGAGACCCCATGGGTTTTAACTCATCGTACGTATGATTGTTAATCATTTTCTTTTTCAATAGCTCTCCGAGCACTTTTGTGACTTTCTTTTTTGCCGAATCCGTCATATCCTTCTTGCAGTTATCAATCTTCAATTTCGATGTGTCATTCAGAATGGACTCTATTTTTTGGACATATTCAGCCTTGTTCATCACTACCACGCCTGAACCTTTGTCTGGTCGCAGTATGACGATGTCTTCACTGTGTCTATTTTATTCACAAATTTTCTCGGTACATGGAACTTGAAACCGAGGGAAAGTGCCTCAATTTCAGTTTGATTTAGCTTTACACTTGACTGATTGATAACATATTTTTCCGGGCTTTCTGGAAAGCCTTCACATAATTGTTCTTTCACCAATGTCTTCGATAGGGTCGTGAAGAAGTCTTTCACTATGGGGATTTAAGAGGGGAAAACACTTTCGGAGCAGAGCGAAGTTAGTTTTCAAGTGTTACTCGATAACTAATATTTAGTGATAGAAATTTGATTGATCGGTTAGGTAGCTTAATTAAGATTATGTCATGAGTTATCTATTTTCCACTTAGTAAATTTTGACTAAGCTATTTATTGTAAGTGGTACTGGGTGAGTAGTTTGTTTTCACTATAAGACGTCAGTGATTGAAATCCAAAGTAAACAAGTGTCTTCTCTGGATTGCGGTGTATATAAATTTCTATCAGTCGTCTATATTTCACTGGTTTGACCTTTTTCGAAGCTCCCTGCCTACAACTACAATTGACATCTCTATAGTGTTTGACGGTACTCATTGTTACTTTGTGAGCTAAGACTCCATTTGTATCCTGTTATATTTAATATTACCAACTGAGTCTGTCTGTGTACCATACGTGTTTAAATTATCATCTGTCTGTTAGTTTAATACTGAAGACAACTTTCGAAGAGAAAATTATTCAGTCAATCAGCCAACTGAATCCTACTGGCAAATGCAAGAGGCAAATGAACAATTCATGGCTAAGCATTCGAGCAATAACAATCAAATTGAAAATGGTGGGAAAAGTGTTAATGGCATTAGTTATCCGGTAAGTGTTGTGCTTGTAATAATTTTCCTATTTTTGATACATTTTAATATGGCAGTTATTTTATTTAAAACAATTAGTTCCCTAAATGGCTCCAGAAGCAAATAGAATCCTCAGAAGCCATCAATGGTGAGAACAGGAGACCTAGCTCCTCTATTGCGAAACATATTATAGAGACAGGACATAAAATTGACGTTAACACATCTTTTAAACCTATCTCTAAAACGTGTTTGGTTTATAGAAGCCTCAGGCATTGGAAAGTTTAAACCATCTTTATGCGTTCAGAAAGAATTCATTATCACACTAAACCTTCCTTAGTACACCTTGTTTTGATACTAGTCAGGGCAGATGTACTGTTACCTTTGTTATTCGGTTTAGTGATCTTCATTGTTATTCTGTCCTTTTAACTTGACCTACATTTATTTTCTCACCTTTCAACTCTTTATTAATTTCGTGTATATTTTTATGAGAAATCTGTATGTGATCAGATTGTTCGAAATGTGTTGCGGAAATACATTAGACGATTCAGACGAATTGCGTCTTCTTATTGCTTTGTCTAAGTTATTTTATTACTTATTTATTATTTTGAGTGTAACATAGGGCTTCAACAGTAAATATCCTCCACCTGTGCTCTATTTGCTACTGTCCTTCACGATTGACCTCAATCTGTCATCTCCTGCTCACACGATCTCCTCCACATCACCCTCGGACGACCCACTTTTCGTCATCCTGGCTCAGATTTTTCATTCTGGTTGCTTCATAGTGGACCCCAGAATAATTCGGGACAACATGGGGTAGCATTTGCTCTCAGTAACAAAGCCAATAATGCCCTAATATCATTCGAACCGGTCAACTCCAGAGTTGCAGTCGCTAGGTTCAAGGGTTCCCCGCTCGACATTTCTGTTCTCGCTGTCTATGCCCCAACCCTCGACTCTGATGAAAGTATCAAAGACGAATTTTATGACAATCTTCAAGAGGCAATCAACAAAATCCCAAAGCGTGACGTTCTCATAGTAGCCGGCGATTGGAACGCCCGCACTGGCCCTTCAGACGACGCGACAAAACATATACTAGGCAAACACGGTCTCGATCAGCGCTGCCGTAATGGTGATAGACTTTTAGCTTTTTCTGATTACAATCGATTATATATCACCAACACTCGATTTCAACACCCCAGAAAACATCTTCTCACCTGGTATTCGAACGACGGTCGCACTGCACATCAGATCGACTACATCCTAGTGCGCTCACGCTGGATCTCCTCGGTGGAAGACTGTCGATCCTATCGTGGAGCAGAGGCCGGAAATAAAGGGGGATCAGACCATACTCTAGTTAGGGCGAAATTCAAACTTCGTTTAACGACACGCCAGAAGGCGCGACCTCCGAAGCGTATCAATGTTGCCCCGCTTCAATGTTCGACAAAGCGACAAGCCTTGTCCAAACAAATCCAGGCCGAACTAAGCGCCGCAGATGAACCAACATCCACATCTTCTAATACACCCGAGACACGATGGAATCATTTCAAAGAAGTAGTCTCTAAAGCTTCAATGTCGCATTTGGGTACCACATCCAAGAAGCAGAAAGACTGGATTTCAGAGCACACCATGCTTCTATCCTCGCAAGCCAGAGACGCTCGCCTAGCAAAGTCTCCAGTTTATCGCTCCCTCAGGCGCAAAGCTACACAGTCTGCTAGGAACGACAGAAATCGCTATTGGTCTAACGTGGCGACTAACATGGAAGCAGCATCAAATGTAGGCGATTTCGGAAAACTTTATCGCCTCATACGCCAATCATCTGGCAAACGCCTTAACAGTCATGCTGTGTTACGCACAGCATCAGGAGAAATTATTTCGGACACCAATGGTAAGATGGAACGATGGGCCGAACATTTCAAGCAGCTACTCAATCGCGACGCTGGTCAACCGTCTCATCGACCGATACGACACTTACCAACACCCTACGTAGTTGACTGCGATCCACCCACTCCAACCGAAATAGCTAAAACAATTAACAGACTCAGAAACAAAAAAGCTCCGGGCGAAGATGGTCTACCCCCAGAAATATACAAGGCCTGCACTCCAGCGCTAATCGATGCACTGCACTCGCTGTTCTGCTCAATTTGGGAGTCCGAAACCATTCCTTCCGATTGGAGCACCTCAGTTCTGCTACCGTTCCACAAAAAGGGAGACAGGTCAATATGCGAGAACTACCGAGGCATAAGTCTGATTGATATCGCTGCTAAGGTTTTTGTTTCCATTCTCCTGAACCGCTTCGCGGCCGAACGCCACGTGCGAACAAGGCCAAATCAAGCCGGATTTCGACCTGGAAGAGGCTGTGTTGATCAATTATTCACACTGCGAAGAATTTTGGAACACAGGGACAAATTCCAACAGCCGACGGTTGCTTGCTTCATCGACTTCCAAGCGGCATTCGACTCAGTTGATCGAGGAGCACTCTGGTATCTAATGGAGCTCGACGGAGTTCCGACCAAGCTAATCAACCTGCTCAGGTCATACTACTCCAACACCAAAGCTCGAGTCCGAGTGAACGGTGAAGAGTCCCGCACTTTTGAGGTAACCAGCGGTGTCCGGCAAGGTTGTCCAGCATCCCCCATCCTGTTCAATTTCACAATTGATTGGATTTTGCGGCACGCCCTAACCGAGCACCACGGCGTCCAACTTTCGCCCGATATTCACATAACCGACCTCGAATTCGCCGACGACGTCGTGCTGTTAGCTGAAAACTTCCCCGATATGCAACAGGCGCTCGACCAGATAAACCACCTCGCGCCTACTATCGGTTTGAAAATTAACACTTCCAAAACCAAAATGTTTTCGAACACATCCACCAGCAATGATGAAATCTTATCCCTAAATGGAGCACCTATTGAAATTGTGCCATCCTTCAGATATCTGGGATCCATAATGCTCCCCAACGGCCAAGCGAAAAACGAAGTGAATGCGCGAATCTCCAACGCCCGGAATGCGTTTCTACAGCTGAGGAGCGTTCTATGGAGCAAGAGAGAAATCAGTCTCAGGACTAAAATTCGGGTCTACCAAGCTTCCATACGACCCGTTCTCCTGTATGGCTGTGAAACCTGGCCTCTTCGCGCGGAAGATTTACGCAGACTCGAGGTATTAGACCATTGGTGTCTCAGGTACATTCTGCATGTTCGTTGGCAGGACAAACTCTCCAACGAAGAAGTGCGTCGTCGTTGCTACAACATCAACCAAATTCCAGTACTGGTCCAACAACGCCGCCTTCGGTGGTTTGGCCATGTTCTGCGCCGACCAGATGACGATCTGGTCAAATCAGTTCTAAATCCCTCGCCATTACCATCTTGGCGATGTCGCAGGGGCGGACAGCTGAAGACATGGCTTGGTACAGTCAAGGCAGATATGGAGTGCCTGGGGCTACAAACCGTCTACGGACTCCGTATGTGGAACAAGAATTGGATATCCCTATCGCAAAACCTTGCTTCAGATCGCCGCGCCTGGGCAGCGATGATTCGAGACGTTCATGAAGCCGGCTCATCCTCCCGTAGGAGATAGCCGAAGTAAAGTAAAGTAAGTAGTCCTCCTGGCTCCTCAACGTATTCCTGATCCATATCCATTTTCTCTCACACACTTTGAGCGATCGGCTCTTGGTTGGTTTGTTGTTAAAGTTTCTTGTTTCTAATTCTCTCTGACAGGCTATTCGATCCTAGTCTTGTTGTTCATGCTGAGCGCAGTGTGGAAGATTTCAGGTTGATGAAGATTTATGATACTCCATTATGGATAAGATTTTATTTTGATAAATCACACAGTTTTGTACGGTAATATTAACTGATGACGTTTCCAGCACAAACTATTCCTCATAATCTTATCAAGTTACTCACACAACTTTTTCCTTCATTTATATACATGTTTATTTATATATCTAGTCAATTGCAAACAAAATCTTATCCATAGTGGAGTTACACTCCTCTACCACAGAGGATTTATGATAGTTAACCAGTTGTTAGATGAACAGTTTTTTTAAGACACTTCTGTATTCAAAAGTTAACCGAATTCTTGGCAAAGTAGGAAATATATGTGTAAAAGATGATTGTTGTTTCTTCATTGATCGTTTTTAATTAAAAACCCTGTGTATTTACAACTCATCTTGATGTTATCAGATTTGCGGTAAGCTACACGTGACTTATTTTTTCAATTAGTGGAATTTTCATTCGGTCATACAATTAACATTTGTGGTATTCAGTGACAACAGTTGAAAATTCCATGCGTTTTGACACATTAACAGAATGCATCAGATAATAGTCACATTTACACAATTCCATGGTTTTCCACATATTTAAAATAGTGGCCAATGTTATAAAATGTATAAGTCTGAATGCAGGTTTCATCGCGAACCAGTATTAGTTAGAGAATCCCTGGACAGTTGTTTTACTTTGGTGTGGAATTCCCCAGCAGTGATCACCTACGATGTTCACTTGTGATGCAATCTACACTGAAATTAGTCTTGCTTATTGATCTATACTCATAGTTATGTGGTATGTACTTGGATTTCATTGATGACGTACCTATATCTAGATATCATGAAGTAGAAAAGCAAAAGTAAGAAAGTTGTTAAATTGAAAGCGACCATTGGATAGAATTACAATTTTTAATTGCCCACTGACTGAGTTTTGTTGGGTCGAGTTCTGACTAGATGGACATTGACGTTGTGAATTCGATTGTTAGCCACCATCAACCAAATAAAAATCACTATTTGGAAAGGCGAGTTCACTAAAAGATGAGAGTAGGACAGATTATTATTATTATTATCGTGTTATCAGTTAAACATCCAACAGACGAGTACTTCATTTGTTTCACTCTTAGTTAACTTGCATTTGCGTAATTTATTGGATTTCCATCAATTTTGAAATATAGTTAAGGCCTTGTGATTGTGAATCTATTAGTTTTTTTTAAATACACATTCTGAATATCGTCTGATAGATTAATTTCAGAATTTTTCTCCGTTTCATAATTTGGTTTCAGTTTAGGGAATATTGGTCAGGAAAGTTAACTATTTTCTGTTTGATGTTCGATGTTACAATTTGAATTGGATATTCACTGCAGGTGTAAATTTAATTTCTGTAATTACTTTCATATAATTGTCTTTATCTTGTCTGTTCGTCTCAGACTTCAGCATCAGGTGTGTTTCGTATGGGCATATTACAACAAGCAGAATTGGCTAAAGCTCATAGACAGTTTTGTCACAAGTATCATTCTTCTTCTGCTGCACCACCAGTGAGGACGCGTTTGCATGCATTATGTTCGCCACAATTGAACGCAGATCAAGCTATCCAAACACATTTCGAAAGTAACAACAAACTGTCCATAAATAAATATTCTTATACCTCAAGAAACTCTTATAATCAAAAGCCTTCAGTTCGACACTTGCAAACACAGCAAAGGTATACGTATAAAGATTATAGTTTACTACCGTCGATGCAGTCGAAATCTCGTGGATTAGGCCCAGATACAGACAATGATGAATATCGCTTGAAGGTAGGTGGTGGTGACCAGGTTCTGGTCGAATGGCTTATTTGTTTATTTTGACACTGACTGGAAAAGTTGACATTTAGGAAATCCCGTGAAATAATCTCTGAGATGAAACACACTCAGAATTCTTCCGTCTCCATTATTCTACAAACCCAAATACCAATAGTCCACGCTGTTATTGAAAACTACTAAAACCATAGGCATGTGTGTGTGTGATATCCTGTTTTCCAACCTACCAACATGTTAATTTGTAGCTACTCAGTGACACGTATATGCAAATGTTGTCCTAGTTCCATTGTGGCTAATACACTCAATTTCCCGTGATATTATTTTTAAATAAATTATTGACAAATGCTTATCTAGGTGTAGATTTCAGTCTTGGAAGTTATCTCATTAGTTTTTCTTCTTTGTAGTGTCTAATTAACGACTGTTTAATTATTTATATTCTCAAAAAAGCCAAAAAATATCATTTTTCTAAATTTCCTGAAATCATTGTAATAGTAGTTGAACCATTGTCGTTAGTTGAAATTTCTACACCTCTGAAATAAAATAAACTGCTATACACATGATCTGAGGGAATTGTGTTGTGAGTGTATGATACGGTTGATACTAATAAAAATTCTGTATGCATAAACGTTTGCGCTCTGACATCTCTACGTCTATGATTTGATGTCAACCTTATGAAGCATGTCGTTAAACCTTACATTTTACGGGTCATTTTATATCACCTGACTATGCAAAGTCCCCTAGTCTACCTATGGTTGTTTCCAAAATTACATAAAAATGAAGCCGATGTGATTAATCATACAGGTAGTAGGAAATCAAAGCATTTCTGGATAGAACATGTAGAATGTAGATAGGCTGGAGAATGAATACATCCTTCTGACACTAGATAGTATTATTGGTGTTGTTGCTGAATTAACGGGTAGTGTTGAAGATGGATGAACTCCATTTCCGGTTTTGAATATCTAATTGTATCATGCGCTTGTAGCAGATACTTAAGTCACTCATGCTTCTAGTCGATTTTGTCCAGAAAGGAATTGAAGAAATCGAATTTTGACTGCTCCTTACCAAATAAGTGGATACAAAGTGTTGAACTCGAAGAGTTTGAGAACTTTGCTCCCATACTGATGCCAAACATAGGTCTCAAGATTCGAGGGGAAGTATTATATTGACCTGTTTTAGTCCCCATCAGTTATCACAAAATACAACTTCTTGCATCACTCGGTTGACCTACATGTTAGATTTTGAGTTTAAGCCCAGAGCAGTGGTCTCTACTCTTCCATAAAATATGAAGCAATAATTTAGTAAATATTTCATCATAGATGTGCCTTTGATTCTAAAGACTTGCTGTGTAGTTACATTGTGAATGACTTTTTATGTTTACTACATAGTGTAGGGTGCGCTTGACTACACATGGATAAACTTCACCAATGTCTGCTGAGCATTTATGCATTTTCCTTACATAAATAAACCATAACCTTTTAGCCTTGTCACGGGTATTGTCAAATGAGTTATGGTCAATAGACTTTTGTTTACTTCCGCTTACTATACAAGTGATTAAAATAGTCTCTCCTTTCTCTTCTTATCAGCTGGCGCGGAAAATACGACAAGATCTTTATTCTGAACATATTAGGAAGCTCCAGAGAAAATCTAAGACGAAATCACTTCACCCTGAAAACGGTGTACAAAGTAATGGTCCATGTGACAGTCATTGTGATTCGTCTACTAATGACAATAATCATAATAAACAAAGTGAAGGAAAAGTAGATCAAGGGGCTAATCACTGCTCGACTGAAAATCATCCAACTCAGGACGTGGGAAATAAATCTACTGATCAAAATGGCCATGTGAATGATGATCATGAAAATGAATCAACTTGTCAGAATGGCTGTGTACCTAGTGTTAGTCAGAGTAAATCTGATAATTTTCACCTAACCCCTCTTTCGAACTATCTGTCCTCTAGAAATGCCAAGAATGTTGAGTGTAGAACTGGGACTGCACGAAGTTCTGCGTTGTCTAAAGAAGACTTAGAAAAGGCAAAAGCAGCAGAGAAACGTTTGGCTGTAAGTTTTATTCGTAACTGCTGGAGTTTTTATATCACGTGGCTTTGGTAGGTTCATGCAAAAGATATGTTGAGTGCAAACATGATATTTATTCCCCGTGAATGTAGCTACTTTTTACGTGATGATTCATTAGTGATCAGAAGTGATTGTGATAGCTGCATTCCTCTGTTAGTACGTTTCAGAATTGTGAGGAAATAAACGAATACCGGATTTTATCCTCATGAGGAGTAATTTTGATATTGTTGTTATAAAACTCTGCCTATAAACTCATAAACAGGATCTCCGTGTCAGTGTACTTTGCATTACCGAGGACTCTACAGGTCACTATCTGTCTAGTCACCAATTAACAAACGGAAGCCAGATGTATAAAGGAGTAGTTCTCGTGGTCGAAGTTTGTAATGCCTTTTGATTAATTCTATGATACCTCCTGTTGTCCTTCTACACATTTTGAAGAGATTAGTTCCCTTCCTAAGGAATGGTAACATGACAAAATGATCAACCCTCAGAGTAAATGAGTTCTGTTGAACTTTATTCAAATTGTGAGGTGGATTATCCTGATTGTGTATAAACGGAGCACAGTGCAGCGTTGGCTGTCCCTACACCAACGGAGTTATTCTCATTGTTTTCAGGTCATTTGTTAAGAGACGATCTGGTTGACTCTCTTATTGTGATGGGAACGTCAAAGCAGAAAGCGAAATTGTTGCATCTCAAAAGTGCATTGTTGAGGGCTCACTACTGCATGTTTTTTAGGTTCTCCCCAAAAAGGCATTAATTAGTCTTAGTCTTTCACGGCTGTCCATATAAGCTGCCTAGTCAAATGGAAAGTAAGAAGTCTAAACTTCAAGATCTCATATTTTGGAGACTCTTCTATATCTAATTTCTGGTTTTAATCTACTTCTGTTAACGGTTATCTACTATGTATGTTTCCAACTGCAGATGCTCAGCTACGCACAACATGTTAGAAAGCAACTTCATGATCAAATTCACTCAAGCCAGTCTTCATCTAACGCATTGAAACAAAAACAGGTGATTTTTCTAAATTTCTTGAATGCATTCAAGAACTTTTTTGACAAGAGTATTTAGACTCTTTCAGTCGTTTAAAATATCTATTTCTATTGCTTGTATAATATCCTTCCTGAGAATAATAGTTATATTTCTGGTAGTATGATTGAATACAAAGGTCTAACTGAATTGATTTGAGAATAACTTGGAACCTTAGTGTGCTGTGTTGTGTTAGAGAGTGGCTGTGTAGTTTACATTAAAGTCAGGCATTAAACTATAATAACTGACAACATTTTGTGTTACATCGTGTATGTAGTAGGATGTATTTTGTGTTTAAAAAAAAGTTCACCATAAACAAATCTAGTATTAGAAATTCATACTCTTTTATATTTCACATCTGTATCTGGAAACTAAGTTCTTTCTGTCTTGTTTTATTCCTTTTATGAACAAGAAAGTTCTGTTCTGATTCTTTGTTTTTAACTCCGCTAAAGTAAGTCTTTTCTGCGTACTATAACTTCATAGACACTGTGAATCGTGATGACAGACGGTACGGCTTGATATGGTTATTAAACATTATTTCGAAGTTCTTCACAATGCGAGAATGATCGTATTTCTTATGATACAGCTTTCCATACGGTGCACATTCCTAAGGAGGAGAACCTTATTATTAGCCCGGTACTCTCTCTCTCTCTCGTCAGCCTTTCAAACGGAATTGGTTTGTGAAACTGGCTTGTCTGTTTGAAGCGAATGATGAATAAACTTATAAATTGTATTCTGAAGATTAATCAGTAAATAATACTGTTTCACTGTATGATATTAATATGGGATTATATGTTATGGTAGGATTTTCTGAAGACTGCTTAAACTGTGATTGATGTTTTGGTATAAATTGAATGTATTTTTCTCTTATTCTTACAACTGATTTTTCCTTTGGATATAAAAGTTCCACACCTTTTACTAATTCCATATGCTGTCCACCATACAAGTGTGAGAGTGCTGGGTCATCTGTGTATAAGATGCTAGGTATCATTTTCTGCCAATGCCATTGATTTAGCAGATAGATGAAGTGTGATCACCAATCGTGTGTGTCAGTTCATTATCACTCATTGGGTTTGCAAATACATTGCTTTGAAACTCTTATTTTTCTTCTCACAATAAGTTTTTATTAGGATATCCTGAAACGCTTTTCTCTTATGTCACGTTTATACTTAATTGTCATCTGCTAAGTGGTAAGAGGTTGTTGAATAAAAGGCCCTTAGATACTCTGTAGGTTAGTGACCTCCATGCAAACATGAACCTTTACAGTTAGTGCATAATCATCAACCTGCTCTATTTGGATCAACAGAGTACAATTGTTCTGTTATACTACTATGATTGAGACGGTAGATGATGACTTGGTAAAGGAATGTTTAGTTTTATGTGTTTGACCACGGATTGATATCAGTTGGAGAACCATTGAAAACCAGGAAGTACTAGACAGCTGTTTCATCCTAGTTTTGGAATCATTGGAAGTACGCACTGACTGGGTTTCTAACCCAGGACCTTCGGGTTACAAGGTAAGGTTGTATACCATTCAGCCACTGGGACCTGACTAAATGATCAGCCAATGAATTCTAACTTCTACCAGTTCGTGATTTAGCGTGACCACCAACCGTTGTCATCGTGGGGAAATCCATCCTCACACTTGACTTGTGGGGCATCACTGATCACGACGTCTCACCGGTTTTTAATGGTTCTCTAACTGATATCAATCCATGGTTAAACTGGTAAAATCGAATTTAATCCTTACAAACCAACTCTTGAAAATGTTTATTTACAATTTGGTGTCTCTATGTGGTCAAATTACGTGTATCCTATCTTCAAGACACCATTTGCACAGATCTTCGTGTTGTGGTACTTCTGGCCTGTATATCGTGTTCCTTTCACGTCTCCATTTGTCTCCGCAGCGGTGAATCATTCACCTTTTCTGACATCAACTCTATCTGCTTGCTATTCGATTTTTTATGCCAATGAACATCTCTTTGTATATATACTACTGGTAATTCTTACCAGTAGCACTCGCCACATTATGTCCTAGTAATTTCTGTTGGATATTTAGCGTAGGTCAGCTAATCTTTTGTAGTCGCAAATGTCTATATGATTGCTTTAAACGATTATTAAGGTTGTATCACAAACACCCACTCGAAAAACTGTACTGGCTAAAATGACTGAAGATTGATTGTACTTCTGGAATCAATGAATTCGCATCAGTTAGGCTTTTAAACACTTTGACGCCTGTGAGAAGTAAGACAACTGGTGGATCGCTGTTGCTTTTTACTCTTCTATTGTTCGTATGGTTGACTGGTTTCCAGTGAGGCACATATGAGCTTATCAAATATTTTTGAAACAGTTTCTTATGACTGCACGTTTGTTGTTATCAAGTGTGCGGGGTGAAAATTTCTGAGGGATTAGTGTCTTAATACTAGAGTATCTAAGTAGTTAAGGAAATAAAGAAGTGTCGTTCGGAAGAAGTTTTGAAATTTTCAAACGGTAATGGTGTAAATTTTTACAAGTTTCAGAGGAGTTGACAAAATATGTGAATGACAGTAACTTGACGTGAAGGCAACATGGTTACGATAATCTCTTCGACAACCACATCGTATTTTTTAAATGATGCTTTCGGTCTGGTTCTTTAGAGGAGACATATTTTAATGTAGCTGCTATCATTGTGAGGTAACCGGTAGCTTGAAACATAGATGTTGAGTGCTGTGATTAGAGCGTGACTGAATAATTAATCAGTTTACGTGATTGTAGAACACTGTGACACAATGTTATTTATTCTCACGTGATACTTTGAGTACAATTCACTACATGCCCCTTCGACATAAATGTGTTGCGTAGTGTAACGCACCAGATGTTTGGTAGATGGTTTAAACAAGATCAGTAGAAGGTTGTGCTCAATATTGGTTGGTGACAACCTGCTCAGTCAGCATGATAACATAAAACAAAAGAACAACTCCTCCCTTAGAGGAAAAACGCAAATTGATGACGAGACATGCACAGAAGGCATCTACATGTAATAAAAAACAAGTGAACGAAATTAATCATAAAGTAGCGAAATTTTTTACGTGAAAATAGAACTAACAGTGCTTCTAAAGCGTTAAGATTTTGTGCTTTCGGTGTTTTTTTATATAACGCTTCTTGTTATCTGAACAGTATTTATAAAATTTGTTAGAAGTCAGCACTTTTGAGCTTAATCCCTTTTACAGATGCAAGTTGTTTCCTTTTTCGTAATTTTGACGTCAGAAATCTGCTTATGCAACTCCAGAGAAACTCCGTCTCTAGTACCGTGTACCCTTCAGTACTTGGGTACATTTCCGAATGCATTATGACTTCGATTTAAAATGATGAAACTTTGAGTTCACTTTGCCATGTATATTTTATTTACTGAATCTGTACCAACTACATAGTCTGTTGATTCAATCCTTAAAATCACCCATATTACTCCAAGCGTTGGATGGACTTATGATTCTGTAATGCTTCACAACGTATACCTCCCTTCCACTTTGCTCACTTCTACCTAGACGACACCTTTCTTAGAATTGATTTAAGACTAATTCTTGTTTTTGTTAGATCCTTTCTTTGTTACTGTCTCTTGGCTTTTCAATTGGTTCATGTATGCATTGAGTTATTTTGCCTTGGGGTCCCCCACTTTTCCTATGCAAATGGTGTAAAAATGTTTGTGGTTATTATTAGCACTCGGTGAATTTTACCACTCATTGTGTTTAGAATGCTGTTAGTTTAATTTGCATAATTATTATATTTACTAAGATTTTAGTTCTGAATTTATTTATAATCTCGTAAGGAAGGTAAATGTGCGTCGGTGGCACAGTAGTTAGGACTCTCGCCGACCATGAACATGGTCCGTGGTTCGATCCCCTGCCGACGCACACCTGATATCTATGGTTGGCCTGCAAAATTTGGGCTACCGTTATCCATGCTGAAAATTTCATACTTGTACCGAAAATACAGTGTGGAATCAATCTGTAAATCAAAAAAATTCCTAATCATTTGGCTTGTGTCTACTCATATTTTTCTTTGTTGGTGTTTGTTTTTTTTAACTCTCTGATGTGTAGACAACTTATCTCCTTTTCGCTTCTCTCTAGAAATGTAAGAAGAATATGGGAAGTCTTGGTGAATGGAAATCGTTTTCAAAGTCAGACGTAGAATTGTCAGAAATGTTACACAGACACGAAGAATACAGAAAACGATGTGAAGAAATACAAAAATCTTTGAGAATTGAAGTCTGATTGCACTTAAATCATTTACACTTTGTCTTTCATACTTTAGGAATTGTTTATTCAAAAGGTTTTGTAATCTTTTCAAATTTATAACTGTAATTCTTGTATATAATTTGAATACTTTGTGATGAAGAAAGTATTATCTGTGTCTTTGATACTTGAGATTAATTGATATGCCTTCCAATTAATATCTGAATACGTTTAATTTAAACTGAAAGAATCCAAAGTAGTTCGCTTGTAAAAGTAACCCGTTGGTGATTGATCTACTGCCAATTAAGAGAAGATCTAGCAATGGTGTGAGTATTGTATTTTGTTAACAAGTCACAACCACTTGCATTTATGCGGCCCTAATTCATATCACATGTACAGACAAGTTTGTTTTTGCCTAGTTTATCCTCCATGAAAGCGATTTTAGGAAGTGATCTTTACACTGATAGTTACAGTACTGTCTTTGATCTTTTGTCAGGTCTTGAGATTACACTGAAATTAGCCTCCCTCTCTCTGTCTCTCTCAAATCCGGATTTCAGGTATTTTATCTCGTTATTTATCATTTAACCAAACAGAAAGTAGCTATCTTGAATGATGATTATAAACATCTACTGAAATGTACATCCAACCATTAATGGATTTGGTCATGTGTTTTCTCACAGAGCTATTTTTTTTTAAAATATTTAGATGAAGAGAATGTCACTTAGTGGATGCAGCATTAGATATACAATCAAATGAACTGATGAAGCCGTACACTAATCTAACAGTTGACGCTATATATTTCGCAACTGAGAGATTTGTCATTTAAATATTGACTTCTGGCAGAATCATTCGAAAGTAACGAGTGGAATGTAGCTCTTCCGTTACATCCCCTAAATACGCGATACATGTAGACTAAATAACCTCTAGTCAGGTACACACTCCTTTAAAATCTTCAATGGGCTTACACGTTTTAGGCAAGTTTATGAACCGCTGTTCAATTTCAAATTATTAAGAGCTCAAGAAGTTTTGTATACGTATTGATTTTGTAAACCAGTGCAACAACTTCTCCAGTCTCATAGTTTGTTTTTGTTTACTAATCGTTCACTTTAATTTTCGGTTAGATTTCTACCACATAGTATTATTTTTCTAATGCAGTGTTCTAGCGTTTATGGCACAATTTTAATTGTTTAGTCGATTCATTTTGTTTATCATATCTACTCCATGTCTGGCGTAGACGTGATATCTGGCTGTTTACCAAAGGATGTGTGTACTGTTCAGCAGTTCGCCCTGTGCTCTCCATTACGGCTGTGAGACACGGCCATTGGAAGTGGAAGACATGAAAATGCTACATGTCTTTGATCATAGGTGCCTGCGTTCTATCTCTTGTGCATGATAGGATGAGTAATACTTAGGAGGTAAGGAGGGGAAATCGATCGATGAGTTTGTGAAGCTATACCCATTGAGATGGTTAGGACATGTGTTACGCATGCCTAGCCATGGATTTCCTCGACGAACGGGCAGTGTTAGCTGACATGGGATCAGGACATAAAATAGTTGGCTAGTGGTGTCAAACCAAAACATACCTTCATCAGTCAATGAAATGCTGAAACGATACACAGACTTCTCCAACTAGGCCCACTCAAAATTGCGTATGAAAATGCATTTCTTAAGTACTGTTTAGAGGCTGAGGGTTTTGAGGTTCATAGATAGTACGACATATACTAAAACATGATCTAATACCCAAAACGTCTATAGCATTCATTTTGCATGGACCAAAGGCAAAGCAAAACACTGGAATTGATCGTCGTAATTACTAAGTATAATTCGGGAACAAATCGGAGTGCGAGAATGATTGCTTAACTAGCTAGGGTTCATGCACGGACAAACGAAAGTAACACAACGGCATGACAAGTGGCGTGGGTTCTTGACTGTAAGCCTTCAGCTACACAAATTCACCAAAACGGCGAGGGTCAGCATCCAATGTTTAGTGGATAATGCTGTGGCAAATAATTCTGGGGAATTACTTGCCCCTAAAACTATCATCCTATTTAAGATGGAATGCCGTACATTTGGGTTTTATTCACTACTTATTTTATCATTAGTTGATGAACGAATAAATATGAAGAACAGAAATTGTGAATAGGGCTGAAACGAAAAATCGTCTTACGTTCGCTGCCAATTATTGATTTCCTTCTCATTTACTCTGCCTCTGATAACTGTTTGAGACTGGAATTCTTCCTCATGCCACTATTCTTGATATTTTCTCATTGAAGACAAGGAATAGTGTGGTGAGAGTCATCTGCAAGCCAAAATTGTATTCAAAAGTTTACGTCCCGAACCGGGGTCATGAGAAAAAACAAAAGCGAAGTTTAACCTTGAGGAACTGACCAGTCAATCACATCAGACTTAACGTGTGCAAAGACGATTCCATGATATACAGCCTAACTTTATAAGAAACGGTCACAAGCAGCACAGAATAAAGTTCAGCCATAAAACAACCAGTCGGAGGATGTTGCTTATCTGCTGACAATAATGCTAATAATAATGTATACAAAAACCTATAAATATCTCTTGATTTTCTCAATAAGTGATCTGTTGCCCGGCGCTTTTCTTCTATCGCTATAATAGAATCTATAAACTTTAATACAATCAGTCTCTGAAAACGTTACATTGTATGTTCCACCGTTCCTGCAAAAGCGGTTTCCCATACTGTGTATTTCCTCACAAAATCCACATTTCAGTTGCCTTCCAGGACCGAAGCTTTCCGGCATTCCACCAGTCTTCTAATGTGGAAGGTAATCTAACTTACAAAATTCAAAGTTTTGAGTTTCTTGTTTTAACGTGCACGCATACAGACTGCCTCGAAAGCCAATGCTCTGAGATTTAAATTCAGGGAAGCCTGTATACGGCAGTAGGTCAGCTGATGGATACAGTCTTTATTTATTGAACCTCCCTATACTCTTTTCTGTTGCTTTGTGTGCTACATGGAGAGAGAGTTGCAACTTGAAATGCTGCACGTCTGAACAGATTTCTATGTTGAAACCAGGCATGTTTATCATATCTGTATTCATCCATCAGCCACGTATTACTGTCCAGCCAGCACTTAAATCAAACAGAAGGAAAGATGTTACCTTGTATCGTTACAGTCACTTTTTTGGTAAGAACATGAGATTCTTACTCAAGGCGAGGTATTTAAACGCGTCTGAATAAACTCAAAATCACTTACGGCCTAAATTAGAAGAGTTATGCGTACTGTTGACAATATACAGCCGTAGGTCGTTAGATGCAGGCAGACTTCTGCGAGTTATCCAAAACCATTGACGTGCGGAGACTTGTTTTGGCAGACTCCGATGGTGATCGGACAGCTGAGTGGAAATCATCAACACAATGATGGAGAACACTGACGTTCAGCGAAAGTAAGAGAAACCTAAGAGGCGTCTGCAGTACTCATAAAATACTTAGTGAAATAGAACTGAGTAAGTCTATCAGTCACCAAAAAGCGACGCTAATTGTAGGAGCCTGATTCGCTGATATGTCCACACAGTGATATAAGTAATATTTTCTAAATATTTTGACATTAAAGTGTGAATTTAAAAAGTCCCTGAGGTTTCAGAAGATGACAGGGATAACGTTATGTGAAGCACGACATACACCAACGCAAGTTCTTATCCTACAACTCCTAAAGTGTTTGTTTTACGTAGACCGATGGTAAGTCAGATTGATCGTCCAAAATATGAAATATATTTCGGGATCAGAATCACAGTGCGACGACGATTGTTTGACTGGCTAGGAATCGTGACTGAACAACCGAACGTAACACGACAGGGTAACAAAATAGCGCAGGCGAATGAACACGAGCCTTCTGGTTAACGAGTCAACTCAAACAATGAAGGTTAGAATCCAGAGTTGTGTGATGAATGCGGTAGGCTGATAATTTTAGCAAATAATACACTGCTACACGGTGACTATTTGGACAACTTCAGAGGTCTTGTTGTTCCACAGAAGTAAACATTGCTTGATACTCATAACTAGGTTTCGAATTTAAGTGTATACATCTGTATTTTCATGATTTTATACCAGTATACGTAGCACGTTTCACCAAATAAGCATTCTTTTTTAATCATATCGTAGCGGTGCTAAGCATATCATAAGGTCTCTACAAGGTTCTGAAAAATAGATTCGAACAAACCGAAAATAGAGAAAAGCGTTGATTGATTAAAGAACAAGTTTGAAGCAGACTAATACATGTTTTCTCATCAGGCTTCACAATGACATAGTAAAATATTAGTCATAGACATTTGAAACAATTTGGACCAATAAAATCAAATATGATCAAATACAATGATAATAAATTTTGAAACTCAGATTAAAATCTCAACTAGAGCACAGTGTGATAGTACTGATAAAGTTAACGGTACAAATAGAAATAATATTACAGTTATCCAGTGTCACTGCGAAAGATAACTATTCCAGGTAGAGGTTGAAGGCCACGAAAGAAACAGAGATCAAACAAACTTTGATCAGACACAGAGATTGGGTTGAAAATTTTTTATGCAAACTGTCTCAGCTGTGCTTAGCAATCGAAGTCGAACGGACTGAAGGAATTGAGGTGGCTGGATTGTTATCATTCGTGTGCTTGATGTTCACTAGGTGTACCAATATGAGACTCCTGATTGACTTTGCAACTCTTTCACCTAACCATGATGATTGAGAGTGAATGTTTCTATTTAGGCCGTGGTCCCACACGCTAGGGAGCGAGAGTGTAGACGACTGAGGCTTGCATACGTCACCGTTACCAGGACTGAGGCAGAATGAGTGACAAGTGATCGCAGTGGTAATTGATAGTGAACAGATAAGAGTATGCGTGAAGAGTATCATGAGGTGCTGCTGTGATCACGTTGCTTTCTGCAAGAGTCATTCTAGCAAGTGGCGATTGTGTTGCAAGATGTCAAGAGGATGCCTTTAACTGGAAGGCGTAGGCCGTCATCGATGAGTGAGACTGTGCTGTGGGTATGCATGTGATGTGTTGGCTTTTCTGTTTGTTTTCCATTTCAGGTTTGTGCGTGTTGCCCAGGCTCTCGCACTGGCATCCCAGTCAACGTGTATTGGTCGTGAGGGAAAAACGTATGGATCCTTTTAGCCAACTCTCATTAACTGTCAATT